ATTTGTCTACCTAACCTGGTTTTTCCAAGTCGGGTCAGGTCAGATCATAGGTTGACCTGATCTGATTCAGAACTCTAATATATATTATTGATTAATATAGCAAAAAGTAAATTCTAAAAAGATTTTTATAGATTAAATATGAAATTTTTTTTTAAAATTACAAATTTTTAGCATATTTATAAATTTAATTTAAAAAAATCTTTATTTATTTATAAAAATAAATCAAAAGAGAATTTATAGTAAATAATCAAGCAAATTTATTTGCAAATCTTTATGATTTAGGGGATAGCCAATAAATACTCAATATAATAATAATCACTTAATAAATTCTTATTTAATGAATTTTAAAACTTATAAAAAAATTATATCAAATTTATAAATTTGATAAAATGATAATTTTATAGTAATTTAGAAAGTGTTATTATATCAAATTCTAACTGTAAATAAATATGAATGCATAAGAAAATGCATAATAAAGATTAAAATTAAAATAATATCTATAGCAAATAATTGATTATATAAATTTTTTAGAAAATTAATTAGATAAGCATAATTTGTATAGGAAAGTACTAATACAAATAAGGGATGGACTATACAATTCTATATGCGATGATCTTCAACCAACTAGCCAATAATTAAACGAAACAGAAATTCCGTCCTACATTAATAATATCATCACATCAAAAATTCAGCAAACAAAGACTTTTTATCTCAAAAAACCAAAAAGTTGCAATCCCGTTCCATCATTAATAGATCTTGCCCCCCGAGAGTCCACCTTCGTGATATTTTCATTACTGCCGTTATCTTTGAATCGCTTCACAAATAGTCTTGACTTTGGGATTGAAATTTTATGTCTGATTTTGTCTGAAAAAGAAAGTGTTAATTAACATGCTTACAAGAAGACGTGAAGAGAATTCTGCTGAAATTACAGGTCTGAGTTCGCCTAAACGTATACGAGTGGGTGAATCGGATCATGATTCACAGTATCCGACATGCTTTTCGACTATCTCCTCTTCACATACATATACAATTTCAACCATCGCTCCTGTTGAGGCCGCTAATTTATCAAATCAAGAAGGTATGACCACATCTTTAGATCATTCCGTTAATCATAACGCCGCAACAGATGAGACGATTCTGGTGTGTCAAACATCAGCACGAACTCTACAAGTTAGTCTTGAAGCAAGTAATCAAAATCTAGTTACCAAAGAATATATAATAGAAAGTACTCTTAATTCAATCATATCACAGCCAGAGGCTGTCGAAATAATCGAAGACTCTAAAGGGGGGGGCAATATAAAATCGACAGACATTTTAGATGAAGATGTGGTTGGGAAGCATCGTATTTTTATCGGAAAAAGGGAGGAAGGTGAAGAAGACTATGACGAAGACGATGATGAAGACTGGAATGAGGGTGACCATGCAAATGATAGTAGTGATGAAACTTCGTCCATTGAGGATATTATTGATCGAATGAATCATGAGAATGTTGAAGAAGATGATGAATCTCTATCAGTAGACGAGGAAGATCTAAGTATATTCATATTATTTATTTTATTTCAAGTGTTTCTATATCAAATTTAAATTTACATGAGAGTTTCTTTAGACATTCCGCCTTTGGACGATGATGAAATTGAATATTTCAGGCAGGAGGCTCGAGAAAAAGGTTTCTGATATTGCAATACCCTATTAATATTATACGCAATGGATTTCATCTTTTTAACTTATGGTTTACATTTTTAGGAACACAAAATTTTATTCAAGAATATTTCTTTGAAAAAGGACTTTCTCTTCAAAAACTATTTTATGCTTTTGATTACAGATTGGTTAGTTGAAATAAATAAAATACATTGTATTGAATTTTAAATACTATTAATTTCTCATACCTTGAATTGTTGGATTATAGCCAGGAAAAATAAATTTTTCTGATGTGCAATTAATCCAAGTTCTTAGTAAAGTTGTACAGAAGTTTCTTAGACAACGTAAAAAATTACCTAATGTTAATACTTTAGAAGACGTTGTCAGATTGTTACGAGAATCAAACAACATTATGGTTTTGACAGGTGCAGGGGTGTGTAACATTATTATTTACTGGAAAAATGATTTCTTATGATAAAATATTAATATATGGAAAAATCATCAGGTTTCTGTATCATGTGGTATTCCTGATTTCCGATCGGAAAATGGTATTTATTCTAGGTTATCTGAATTTGACCTGGATGATCCACAAGATATGTTCGATATCAATTATTTCAAAGATTGTCCTGAAGTCTTTTATTCATTTGCAAAGGTTATTGTTTCATATTTTTGACCATTTGCTTCTTAACATTTGAGATTAAAATTTTTTAAATAAGAATTCAATATATGTATTCGAATTTACACTATATAAATTTACAGGAAATTTATCCCAGCAATTTTACACCTTCACCTTCACATTATTTTGTTAAACTATTGGAAGAAAAGGGAAAACTGTTAAGAAATTACACACAAAATATAGATACACTTGAACAAGCTGCTGGAATTAAAAATGTTTTACAATGTCATGGTATTATATTTTATTTACTTTGATCAATATACAATTAAAAATTAAAGTTTACACTTGTTTTTATAGGATCTTTTGCAACTGCAAGTTGTATTGTGTGTGGCTATAAAGTTGATGGTATTGAGATCAAAGATGACATTCTAAATCAACGAGTACCGTATTGTCCTAGATGTGTTACCATCGATGATGAAGACAATGATATCGGAGAAAGTGTTTCTATCATGAAACCTGACATAGTATTTTTTGGTGAAAAACTTCCGCCAGAATTTGATCGATCATTCCCCAGAGATAGAGAAAAAATTGACCTTCTGATTGTAATGGGAAGTAGCTTAAAGGTTGCCCCGGTTAGTGAAATAATGGGTAAGTAATTATCCCTTTAAATTATTCTAGAAATCTTATATATAGTTAAATGTTGTAATTTTTATAGGTCAAATTCCTCATCGTGTCCCTCAAATTGTCATCAACCGAACACCGATAAAGCATATGCAGTTCGACGTACAACTTCTTGGTGATTGCGATATTATAATTCCTGAACTGTGTCGAATGCTCAGATGGGAATTAGTTCATGAAAAACTTCCCGGTGGTTCATCATTATGTAAAAATTCTGAACCTTATCGATTTTTAGAGCCACACATTTATTTGTTTGAGGGGGCGGTAGTGAAACAAGGAGATTTAGCTGGACGTGGCGTAAGGAAAGCAAGTATTGAAGATTTAAGTTGTCAAGAGAAAGATAAAGTGGACATTCGAGAAGATAACGAACAACATAATGAAAAGACAGTGAAGAGCAATAATAATTTGGAGAAATTTTTAAAATCTACTCTAGAACATGACTACCCATCTTAATAATATATTTTGTTGATTCAATTCACTTACATTATTTTACACGTCCAATAATCTCTTTCTTTATATAATTACCACTTCCTTTACGGTTAGGTCCGTGTTACATTTTTGTTGATAGGTTAGATGAATTTTATGAGAAACCCTTATGTAAATCATATATACAATCAGCACGTGATTTTTCAGTACAGATATACTATTTAAACAGTACGGAATAACTAAACAAATATTTACAAACAGTCAATTAAATTCGCTATTTCATTAGGACAATTAATTTTGCAAAAGTATGAGTAAAATTACATACAAATTATTGTACAATTACTCTTTTTTTTTTTTTTTTTTAGATATAATTAAAAGGTTTTTGGTGTGATTATTTTCATCCAATCAGATTTATAGAATATTTGTAAACCAAAACTTATTTTGAAATATCATTTACTTTAATGATACTTATGCTATGATTTTTTAATATAAGAATTTTAAATTTGATTTGTATAATAATTAGTGTATAAAAAAAAAAATCAGATTTTAAATTTATAAATTCAAATAAAATTGATTTATAAATTTAAATATTATTTCTTAAAATTATTTTTTATTATTTATTATGTATTACTTTTATTATTTTGATATTAAAGAATATATATTAATATTCTTTTTAATTAATAATAATAAAAATAATATTTTAATAATTTTGATTTATTAATTTTTTATTATTGTTTTATTTATATTTTATTTATATAATTATTTTTTATTTTTTTAAAAAAAAAATTTTATATTTAAGTATTAAATTTATTATGAAATTTTATATTTATATATTTTCAAATTTGTTGAATAATTTTATATAAATAATAAAAGTATGTTTTTTATAATCAAATTAGTCAATTAACTAAATAGATAAAAACAATCATAAGATATTATAAAAACATTTATAATTTATAATCATTAATCTTATTATAATATCATAATAAAAATTTGTATTTAAATATTTTTATTACTTAGATAATAAAATAAAATTTTCTTTAACCAAATTCTTAAATTAAATTCTAAAGTATCAAATAAAAAATAAAAAATATTAATTAATACAATAACAAATTTATTAATATTAAACAAATTATGATAAAAATTATATTCATATATTTTTAAATTCACTAAATAAAATTATTTAGATGATAAAAATCAAAAAATTTAAATTTATTTCTGAATTTCTAAAAAAATTTAAAATTAAACTTTTTAATAATAAATTTATTTATATCTTTATTATAATTATAACATTAAAATAAAATTAATTAAAAGTTAAGATATTTAAAAAAAATACTTTAAGGTTAAAATTTTATTTTGATTAATCATTTAATTTATTTAATTGATTGGTTGATTAATATTAATTTAAAAATTTACTAACCTAATCTAAATTTTTTAGATTATATAACAAGTTAAATAATATATTATTATGCTGTAATATATAATATAATCATAATAAAATTATTATTATTTTGATTGAATTTATTAGAATTATTCATAATTTATCAATTATTTTAATTATAAAATATAAGATATTGTGATTATAAAACATTTAAAACTAATATTAATATTTTCTAACTCTTTTTTAAATGTATAAATGCATAATTGATTAGATTGATTTATTTTTCAATTATTATTAAAGATAACATTGCAATTAGATTTTACTAATCATAACTTGTAACCTGTAACTGAAACTCTATATTTTTTATCTAGTGTTAATGTCTGAAATCGATCTTACTGCGCTGATCATTAGTGACCAACGAAATGAAGACATAATAAGCGTGACCAATACTGTGTTGACTGATCTACATAATTTCAGATTTTGATGATTCTTGGGATCCACAGGATTCTGGAGATTCATAGGATTCTTAGGATTTACTGGATCCTTCGGATTATCATGATTCGTTAAATTTTACTAATTCTTTGTATTTCCATTATTTTAATTATTATCGTTATTTTTATTATTTTTATTATACTTATTATAATCGTTATAATTATTCTTCTTATAATCATTATCATTATTATATTTACACTTGTAGTTACAAATTTAGTTAGTTTATAGCGTAGCAATGAGTTAACTGTAGCAAATTAATTTTATATAAATAGAATAGCTTTTGCTCAAGTTATAAATTAACTCTTTTGCGAGTTTTAAACTCTATTGCAAGTTTCAGTTTTATTACAAGTAATAAAGAAATCAACTTTTAAAACAAAAATACTTTTCCTTTCTACGTGTCCATCATCTTGGATTTGATCGTGAACCACTACACTAACTTGCGATTGAGTTCGTCACTTAGAATAAATAAATTCTCTACATTTTTCCTAAGTCCTTAAACCCTTAAAGTTTGTAAATCAAGTGAAGTAATTTCAAGGCATTTTGAATATCTGTAGAACGTAAGATTTTCTAAGGTTATAAAGTCTGACGATAAGGAAGTTACTTACTGCAGTAAAGGAACTTAGACAAATTACGTGAAGTAATCAGAGAAGATTTTTCTCAGTGATAAAGTGGTGATTCCTACCAGGCGAAATACAAAGAGAAAAGTATACAGAAATTAAAGTGGATTTAAATACTCTTAAAGAAGATAACCAATTACACAACCTTAGCCACGAATCTGATATTGATCCTGAAAGATTAATAGGGAAAATATTTCGTGTCAAATTTGTTATTCCTTATATTTACCCGAACCTGATAACTTTGAAGACTTTCAGTACTGGTATCACATTCAATTTGGATCATATAGATACTCTGGATATACCCTTGATCTGTTTAAGATATTACAACAAGTAACTAAAGAATTAAGTGAACAACTTGAAGATATTGATCTTATATGAACTATAACTTCTCAAGTCTCTGCATTAATCAGAAGTTTTAGATATAAGAAAGTTGCTAGCTTACCCCCAATTGCTGAATTAATAGTCTTATTAGTAAAAACAAATTGTGTAGAAAAAGGAAGTATACCTTTTGATAAGGATAAGTGGTCAAATACAACTGTTACAGCTAACGACTATATATTTAATCAAGAATTTAATGTGGATCCTTCTGAAGAAAACACCTCGTCTTTCTTGAACCCTGCAAAAACTAGAACTCTTCGATCAGGAAGAAATTACAACCAAGATCCCTCCATTCAATATCAAAGAAGATCATATCGATCCACTACCAAAAGCTCTATTGCTCGTGCCCAAAAAGTTATTGTATCAGGTAGCTCAAGTAAAAACCAACCAATTCAATCAACTTTTTCTTCCTCAATCGTTCAGTCTAATCCTATTATTGAAGAAAGTACAGATGAAGAAACAATTACTCAGGGTAATCTAGAAACTATTCCTAAAACTACTGAAACTTTTGACTCAGACGAAGAAACCGTTACAAATACCGAAGCAGCCGAAAGATATTTACCAAACGCTGAACAAAGAAGACAAACCCTAGCAGATTTAATTGTTTCACATGAAGAAACTGAATATCCCCCTTAACCGTTACTAATCTATATTCTGACTCTGAGTACTTGCCAACTAATTATTCTCAAGAATCACCTTTTAGACCTTCAAATTTAACTTTGGAACAATCAGAAGAAGCCTCTCAAATAGTTGTAAGAGCTCAACCAGAAAAATCTTTTGAAAACGATTCATTTAGTACTATTTCACCAACCCTAAGAAAAGGAGGATTTCAAGAATCACCATCATCCAACTTATTTAACAACACTGCAATCGGAACTATAGGAAATAGATCTTTCACACTTTCACCAGTAGCAACCAGTATCCCAATAACTAAAGGAAAACAACCAGTCACACATTTTACTCAATTTTCCAAAGATAATACTTCTTTTAGTTCGACGATGTCTCACTTTGGAAGTCTATCTGGAGGAATTAATACAGGAACTCCTAGTATTGCATCAGGAAGTAATAATCCATTTCAACCACCAGCTGTCACAACAACAGGAAATGTTCAATGGAGTAACGTAGCTAATAATCCTAATATAACAGGATTTAATACTGCTACTACTGCTGTAAGTAGTAATACTGGAACAGGATTTGGATTAACAGGAATGGAATTTGGACAACCACAATCTCAACAGACTTAAACTATACAACCTCAACAAAATGTTGCTTTATTTAAACAATTCGCTCAAGGTGGTAATCAAAATAATCAAAATGCATAATTGGTTCAGGCACTTCAACAAATTACATTTGCCTTACAAACGATGGCTGTAAACAACAATAATGCAGGACAGGTACAAGTTAATCGTGCTGAACTAAACCTGGTAAAACCAAACTATTTGCATGGACTTGACGATGAAGACCCTTTTGAATGAATCGCCACTTTTAATCGAGCTGCTACTGCAAATCAATGGAATAACAATAGAAAAATAGCCATTACAGCTGGATATTTAAGAGATGCTGCAGCCAAATGATATGATGAAAATCAAGGAAATTACCAAGGATGGCATGTATAAGGAAATCCTAATAGCTTTGTAAATGCATTCTTAAACTATTTTGCCAACGCTACCATGAAAAATAGATGGATGTTTGAGTTAGAAATAATTAAACAAAATCCTGGACAAAGTGTATCTGATTATGCTCAGAAATTCAAAATGTTAATGCAACGAGTTGATATCACTGGAGGATTTGGACAGCATTATATTATTAGTAAATTCGTTAGAGAATTGTCACCCCATTTAATGACCATGATAGTTGGTCATAGTCCTCAAACTTTAGATGCAGCTATCACTAAAGCTAAAGAAATCGAAACTGGATTTACTATTGCCCAACCAATCTAACAACAGCAGATAATGGTCAATCAAATGGAGATTTTACAACAACAGGTTGCGCAATTAACTGCAAATCTGGCCAATACCTAAGTCCAATCAAATCCACGTCCTAGGTGGAATCAACAAAATCAGCAAAACCAAAGAAATACAAGCTTTCAAACTCACCGAACTAAATAATGTTGGAGATGTGGTGAGGAAGGACATTTTGCTAGAGAATGTCAATCAGAGACACCTGTAAAAGCTCAACCAAGATTCCAAAATCAAAACCAACACCAAAATCAAAATCGTATACCATACCGTCCATCTTGTAGACCACAACAACGTAATATTAATTTAACTAAACAGAGCAATCAGAACAAGATGAAGAAGTATATACTACAACTAGAATTTTTCCTAGAACTGAGTCAAGAGGAGAACAAAGAATACGA